GTGCAATAACAATATGGAAAACTGAACATCCTAAACTGGTAATTGCACACTCAGAAAATGGAGAGTTTTATTTTAGAAAGCGAGAGATACCGAGGGGCGCCCTCGATCTGTTAGTGTACATGAATGCGAAATTTGTGTACATTGAGAAGACAATGAAACGGAATTTCGAAGAACTTTTTAGTCAGCTAAATTTTCAATGGTGCCAAACAGAAAGGAAAACGCTGCTGACACAGCTAGCGCTTGCGACAACGAGTGCCAGTGATTTCGCATACTTCTTTATGGAAAAACCAGGTTACACAGCTTGTTTTTTAGGTAAAGTAATACATATAGTCCAGTGCGTCCCAGTTGAAGTGACCATCCGATCGACAACCAGATGCTACATGGAAATACCGATTGTTTAGAATAATCAGTCAGCAGTCTTAACTCCTAAAGCCCGGCTGATTCAGCACCATGGCACAGAAATAACGTGCGATGCATTAGCACAGAAAATGTATCGATTCAGAGGCGAGTGGTACAGAATGCCACCACACCTCGTTATAACACGATCACCTCAGATGATGGAGCTAGAGAAGATGGAATTCAGATACGTCTCTCCGGAAGCGTTGGCTACAGAAGGAATATACAACGCAGAGGAGGTTGCTAAACTGCGGGATCAACTGATGTACTCTAATGAAAGGCAAGCCATTGCTAATGTTTTGGTAAGAGGAGCGATGGGAGGAAAACCAGACACGCGGGGCATCTCAATTAGCGACAACCTCGACGAAACAGCGTTAAAAACAATTGCGGATAGCCTATGGGGACGTTTCTGGTTTGGAAATTAGAAATGAACACGTCTATTCATTACACCCTCATTTTCTTGACGGCCACGATGTGCATGAAGTATTTACAGAAGTGTATAACTACATAAATTCCAATCAAATGTGAGTCAGCTTCAGCCCCTTACTACGAATATGGCATTTTTGACGGCAGAACCCTACCTTTCAGGCAAGTTAATTGAATTACAGTAAGAAGTTTATAGGATAGACAATAATAATTAAAATTTTGCTTTCTCTCTGAAGACAGTACTTCAGCCTAGAAGAGCAAAAAGATATCATATGTGTTGCTTCGGCCAGTCTGTAGAGAAGTATACAGATTTTTAAAACGTTAGCAAAAAACCTGGTTCGTATTTTATAAGTAGGCTTCCTTCCACTGGGTGCGTCATTATTATACAAAAGATACTAAGTGAATATGAAATGTGGTGAGGATTTATAAAATACATAAAATCCATTAACGAGCAACGGTTTTAAAGGCCCCTCCGCAGGACGTCAAAACCAAATTCTTTTCCAGTAGGCGACAGCAAAAAAAAAACATTTGCACCTCACGTTAAACAAAAAGAAACGACCAAACGAATGAACTCGAGATGGATTCTCCTTTTTTCAGTATGTGAAAAAGCGGTAAGCATTTAGCAAGCAATTACCCAGAACCCTAAATTTAGAAAATACGAGACTTATTAAAAAAGTCAACAACACATTATAATATGATCTCAAGTAATCGGAAGATCTTCGCTGTGAGCACTTTTTGTGAGGTATTTTTTTACTGGTGTATAACGGTTAAAACATATAAGCGACTGGAGTTTTGCCAGCTGCAGGAGTATTCGCTTGGTTAGTTAAAGAGAAATTGATAATATTATACTGCAACACAGTTCTAGATATATATAGGCGACTATATTTCTAATTTGGTGTGAAAATTCTTTTGCGGCGGAACCAGAAGTAAAGTGATGCGATCTGCTACCAACTTATAAAAATACTCGCTTAAGTTCAGACTGAGCGGTGTACCTGGTTTATCTTTGGAATTTTTTGAAAATGCGGATTTCTTGACATATTTGATATCCATAAAATTATACTCACCTGGTTCCCGCTGTCTTGTGTTGTTCCTTGGAGCGGTCGCCGTCGAAATATTGGTAGAAATACGACGCTGAGGCTGACTTCCTCAATTACTGTTTTCTTTTTCATTTTTTCTTGAAAATTTAGTTTGTTAGGATTACACAATTTTTTTCCTTTTCTGCATATAGATCCCTTTGAGTGTCTTCTTAACATAAATGAACTGTTTTAGGGGGATTTGCAAAGCGTTTTTTTTTTTTTGGTAGACGCGGTTGGTTTTTTGCGTAACTAGTTTTTTTACTTAATATTTCATTCAGACCAACTATTTCTAAAGAGTTTGTTGTTGTTATAGTTGCCGCAGTTGTAGTTATGTACTGCTTGCTAAATTTTTTACCTTTTTTTTGTTTTGTACAAAAAGACTTTAAAGAAATTAAGGAAAAAACTACCAACCTCTGATTTGCGTTCTAGCAAGTAACTCAGCAAGAACATTAGATTCCAGCAAAATTCAGGAACTGTTATATAGTCAGAAATATGACGAGCAGAATGATGCCAAAGCAGTTCCAGAACTCCCAGAATGAATCAGTTGAAAACGCCTTAGTTTAGACTTAAGCCAGCTTTTGTCTCAGCAGTCAGTAAGGGACATTACCGTATCCCCCTGCCGTGCGCGACATACACAAAAGAAGAGTAGAAGTGGGCTCTTCTATGTTCACAAGATACCTTCACGTTTTACCTAAATTTCAGTACGAAAGCGGGCTATCTTTGCACCAAGAATATGAAAAATAA